CCAATTACAACATTTAGGATACCTTTGAATTTAGCCAATCATAGAGCGAGTCTAGGGTCTTGTTCGGCGACTAACAGGTTAACTTCTCTCTCCCTAGGCCCTTCCTTCAGTAAGGCTGAGGGTGGCTGCTGGCCTTTCCTGATTGGGTGTTGCCAGGGTAGTGTGGTGGAGTGATGTGGTGGCCAGTTTCTTCGGCCTTGGGCAGTGTGCAGCTGCTTGATAGTTCTGGGGAGGCTGAAACGCAAGCCTTAAGCAATGGTACAGAAGCGGAAGGAGCTAGTTAGGTTTTAGTTTCCTGTAGTGCAAGCACTTGTACAGAAGCAGAAAAGCTGGTTGAGTTTTTGGTTTAGTTTGTCTAGGCCCCTCATTCCCCCCTTTATTTTGTACCTGAGGAGCCAATCTTGGGTCCTACAGATTAGAGAGACGAAAGGGCTTCGGTGTCTAGGGGTTGGTACTGTAATCTTAGTACCATTACCTGGATTGTATTGAGCCTATCTCTGATAAAGTTTAACAGTTTGTTGAAGATAACGGGGCCAAGGGTCAGAAGTAGGAGGAGTAGTATAAGGGGTCCAGCCAGAGCTGAGAGTAAGGTTGTTAGCCATGGGGACCCATTAAGCCAGGATGTGAACCATCCCTCCTGTTGTTCCCGCTCTCTTTTTCTTTTGGCAAGGCCCTCTCTGACTTTGGCCATCAACTCTCGAACGACACCAGAGTGATCAGCATAAAAACAACATTCTTCTTTCAGGGCCGCACATAGGCCTCCCTGTTGGAGGAACAATAAGTCTAGTCCTCTACGGTTCTGTAGAACAACCTCGGAGAGGGAAGTCAAAGATTTTTCTAGGTGGGAAATTGATTGTTCAAGTCTTTCAATGTCCTCATTAATGGCAGCTCTGAGGTTATTGAATCCCTGGTGTTGAGTGGCCAATGATGAGATTCCTGTTCCTGCCCCCAGCGCCCCGAGACCAAAAAGAGCAGCTAGTGTTATGGTGAGGGCTTCGCGTTTGGTTATTATTTGTTGTGTCGGCGTTCCCCCAGTCCATAAGTCGTATAGGTCGCCCTCTGAATGATAATTGATTTTTGGGAATACCAGTACCATAACACAGTACTCTGTGGATGAGTTGAAAACTTGGGTATTTAGGCATGGGGTTAGTCCTGTTTGGGAACAGATCCACCATCCACCAGAGGGAGGAATTATCCATTTGGACTGGGCTTTAGAGTAATTATTGAGACTACAGACAGGGCATCCATTTGGGGGAAGGGTTCCCAGACAGGTGCCCTTACTGGAGACTGCCTGGAGGGTGAGACCAGGCTTTTTTTGATCCCATTTGCAGCCTGCCGGGAATATCTCATTAGATGTATTATAAGGGGCGGTAAGACCCACGGCTTCATAGTAAGGGGGCTGTATATCATAGCACAGCCAACAGGATTCTGTCACATCTGGGTTAGATTGGTTTAGGGCCTCATATGCCGCTGTTAGCATTCCCCATAAGGGGTCCATATTTTTTACGGCTGGGTTAGTATCCTTTATGGTTTGTTTTTCTATTTTGGGAGTTGGAGGTTAGGGGGGAGTAGGACCAGGGGGCATAATGGTGGATTTTTGTCTAGGGGATGTTGTAGGAACCTGTTTTGGCCTGTTCATTACCTGATTGGGTCCTATTGGTTGTAACTGAAGGGGGGCAAGGACCCGCTTGATTATAAACAGTACTCCTGTGTTATACCCTGATTTATATAGTCTTAATCCCCAGGCTAGACCTTTGTCCCAGTCCTTAATTTTTTTACCCTTATCAGTGAATGTTAATTGTAAAGGATTACATCCAGAGCCAGGCTTACAGGGGGCGGTTGAGTTTTTGCGCTGGAGGGAAATGAGAGATTGAGAGTCCTGGATCCAACTGCAAGATCCCGTGGTCTCACAGCCCCAGTTCCGGCAATAATAATCTGACCAGCCTCCACATTGAGCTGCCTTGTCACTAGAAATTGGGTCCGGACATACATAAAAACAGGTGTTGCGTAATGCCTGGTTTGTGGTTGGCCCCCATTCCACGATCCCAGAGCCTCCTGTTTCGACACAGGGTCGTCTTTTGGGGTTTTTGCTGAGTGACTGTTCAAATAGGCTGCACAGGTCAAATTCAAGTGTAGGCCACCATGTATTGGGAGGATGGGGTTCAACTTTAGTAACTATGGCTTGATTTGAGCTAGGTGTAATAACCTGCCATGTTATTTGGAGGGGTTGATGGGGACTTTGGTGTCCCAATATTGAACTTACAGGCAGGATCTGTAGGATCGTTACAACAGAAATTATGCTAAACATGGTTGTTTGGAGCACGACGCAAGGTTAGTTTGAGCGGGTTTTTCTTACTCCGATCTACAGTCCAGGTAGTGTCCGTGTTAATGTGTCCCACGAGGTCTGACAGCGGGTCGACAGGCTTTACGTGGACATGGTGGATCCAGGCCGGGATGTTGTCTACCTTGATTGCAGTGGGGGTTGTCAGGATGATCTGGTAAGGTCCCTTCCACCGAGGTTCGAGGTTTTCCTGCCGGTGCCACTTGACCAGGACCCAGTCTCCTGGGCGATACTGATGAGGTACGGGTGGAGGTCCCGTTTCATACAGTTCTCTTAATTTGGGCCACACGGCCTCATGAACCCGCTGTAAAGCCCTGAGGGAAGATAAGAGACTGTTATCTTGTCCTGATTTAATGAGTTCTGATTTCAAGTCTGGTATAATCGCTGGGGGCCTGCCAAACATAATTTCAAAAGGTGTAAGGCCCAACTTATATGGAGAGTTATGGACCCTGTACAGAGCGTAGGGGAGTAGTTCTACCCAATTAGCGCCAGTCTCCGTGGTCAATTTAGTTAAGGTCTCCTTTAACGTTCTGTTCATTCTTTCTACCTGTCCTGAGCTTTGGGGTCGGTATGCGCAATGTAACTTCCAATCAGCCCCAAGTATGGAAGCCAGTCCCTGTCTTACCTTAGAAACAAACGCAGGCCCGTTGTCTGACCCTATCATTACTGGGAAGCCATACCTGGGCAGGATCTCTTCTAGTATCTTCTTTGCTACTATTTGTGCTGTTTCATTCTTGGTCGGGAAGGCCTCAGTCCATCCTGAAAAAGTATCCATAAACACTAATAAATATTTATAGTCGAATTTACCAGGCTTTACCTCGGTGAAGTCCACCTCCCAGTGAGCTCCGGGTGTAGTTCCTCTCTTTCGTCGGCCTTGAGTCGTAGTGTGAGGATGCGGGTTCTGAAGTTGGCAAGCTGCGCAGGCAGCTACGATTTCTTCTGTTTGGTCAGAGATGTTTTTTACCACTAGTTTAGAATGTCGGAAGAGATCCTGTAGTCTTCGAGGCCCCAGATGGGTAGTATGGTGTATTCTGGTCAAGACTTCATGGCCCAATTTTCCGGGAAGGATGAGGCAGTCTTTAGAGTCTCTCCACCATCTGTCTACCACTTGGGTCATGGGCAGCTTACACATCCAGGCAAGATCATCTTCCAAATATTCTGGCTGTGGGGGTAAATCTCGGGGCCCAGGATCTGGTTAACTGTACAGACAACGCTAGGACGGGTTTTTTGCTCTCCGACGTGCAGTCTGGTCAGCGAGGTTATTTCGTCGTGAGACTGGGTTGGTTCCTTTCTGGTGACCTGGGCAGTGTACTATGGCCAATTTCTTTGGAGCCCAGATAGCGGCCAATAGGGCCAAAATTTCATCTTTGTTTTTGATGTCTTTGCCTTCTGCAGTGAGTAGTCCTCTCTCTCGGTATATCGCCCCGTGTATGTGGGCCGTGGCAAAGGCATACCGGCTGTCCGTGTACACAGTCACTTTTCGATTCTGCCCCATTTTTAAGGCCTGAGTTAGTGCAATTAGCTCTGCCCTCTGGGCTGAAGTCCCTGGAGGCAGAGCTTCTGCCCATATTACTTCAGTCTCTGATGTCACTGCGGCCCCCGCATACCTCTGTCCTTGGTGGACGAAGCTGCTCCCATCAGTGAACCAGGTAACCTCCGCATCTGGTAGGGGCCTATCTTGTAGATCTTCTCTTGTCCCGTGGATCTGTGCTAGGATGTCTGTGCAGTCATGGAGTGGGGCACCCAGGTCAGGGTCGGGTAGTAAAGATGCCGGGTTCAGGGCCGTCGGGGGGGTGAAGGAGACTCTGAGGGGGTTCAGTAGTAAGCCTTGATAGTGAGTGAGTTGGGCATTGCTTAGCCATCGGTCAGGTGGCTGCTTGAGGATACCTTCTATAGCATGTGGGGTAGTGACTTGTAGTTCTTGGCCCATGGTCAGCTTATTAGCATCTTTTATCATCAGGGCGGTGGCTGCAATTATCCGGAGACAGGGCGGCCATCCGGCCGCCACTGGGTCCAGTTTTTTGACAGATAGGCCACTGGCCTACGCCATGGGCCCAGGTGCTGAGTTAGCACTGCTTTGGCAATTCCCTTATTTTCATCTATGAATAGATGAAAGAGCTTGGAGACGTCTGGAAGCCCCAGGGCAGGTGCCGATAGTAGGGCAGTCTTAAGTTGTTGGAAGGCCTGTTTGGTCTCCTCCGTCCAGACAAAGGGCTGCTGTTTCTTTGTAGCCTGGTATAGGGGCTTTGCAAGCTCAGCAAACCCAGGTATCCATAGTCTACAGAACCCAGCCGATCCCAAAAATTCTCTCACCTGTCGTGGCGTCTGAGGTCTGGGAATGCGGAGGACCGTCTCTTTTCGTGCATCTGTTAGCCAGCGCTGCCCCCCTTTTAGCAAATAGCCCAAGTAAATTACCTCTGGCCTGCAGATTTGAGCCTTTTTTGCTGAGGCGCGATATCCCAGGGTTCCTAGAGTGTGTAGGAGGCCTTCAGTTCCCTGGATACAGATCTCAGGCGTTTCGGCGGCTATTAAAAGGTCATCGACGTATTGTAGGAGGGTTACATTAGGGTATTGTTGTCTGTACTCACTCAGATCCTCAGGTAGTGCCTCATCAAACAGGGTCGGAGAGTTTTTGAATCCTTGTGGTAGCCTGGTCCAAGTGAGTTGTCCACTTATGCCCCTGTCAGGGTCGGTCCATTCAAAGGCAAATAACTCTTGACTTTTGGGTGCTAGAGGTAAGCTGAAAAATGCATCTTTTAAATCCAGAACGGTGTACCACTGTTTTTCGGGGCTGAGGGCACTCAGGAGAGTGTAGGGGTTAGGGACGGTCGGAAGTATGTCCATCACCCTTTTATTGACCTCCCTTAGATCTTGTACCGGCCTATATTCCCCACTATTGGGTTTGCGTACCGGCAATAAGGGGGTATTCCATGCCGAGTGGCAGGAACGCAGGACTCCGGCGTCTAGGAGGCGACGGATATGTGGAGTGATGCCCGCTTTGGCTTCAGTGGGCATTGGGTATTGGCGCATTCGAACAGGGTCTGTCCTGGGCTTAATTTCTATGAAGAGGGCCGGGCGATGTTTTGCCAATCCCATACCCCCTGTTTCTGCCCACGTGTTTGGAAAGCGTTGGAGCCAAAGCCCCAGGTCTTGGCCCTGTGGTGATGGTTTCTGATGGAGTCTGTACTCGTCTTCTAATTTTATTGTAAGAACTGATATGGGCTGATTGTGGGAATTGGTCACGGTTGGCCCCCCTGGTTGAAAATGGATTTGGGCCCCAATTTTGGTAAGTAGATCTCTTCCTAGTAAGGGGCAGGGGCTCTCGGGGATAACTAGGAAGGAGTGAGTTACCTTCCCAGTTCCCAAATTTACAGTCCTCTGGGTTGTCCAGGGGTATTTCTTTGTCCCAGTGGCCCCTTGCACCCAGGATGATTTTTCGGACATCCTTCCATGGGGCTTGACTAGTACTGAATGTTGTGCTCCGGTGTCGACTAGGAACTGGACCGGGGTCCCCTCCACTTGTAATGTTACCCTAGGTTCGGGGAGGGGGTCCGAACCCCGTGCTCCCTATTCTGAATCTTGTGTGAACAGGATAGGGGCTGTTTTAGTTTGCCATGGTTTGGGCTCCGAGTGCTGTTGTTTCTTTTTAGGACAATCCCGCAACCAACGCCCTTTTTCTTTACAGTAGGCGCACTGATCTTTATCTAAGTGCCGCCTGGGGGGGTGCACTGTTTGGCTGCCTCCCGAGGACAGTTGCTCTTTCTGAACTATGGCAGCTAGGATCTTAGTCATTTCTCGCGTAGCTTTGATTTGTTTTTCCTCTGGGTCATCTCGGTTATTATATACCCGCTGCGCGACTCTGAGTAAACCTTGGATCTGCTTTCCTTCAAAGTCCTCTAGCTTTTGGAGTTTTTTCTTAATATCGGGGGCGGACTGGTTTACGAAAGACATCACAACAGCTGCCTGGTTTTCTGGGGCCTCAGGGTCCATGGGGGTGTACTGTCTAAAGGCTTCCATTAATCTTTCTAGATAGGTAGCAGGGCTCTCTGTCTTACCTTGTATCACTGAATACACCTTGGCCAAATTGGTGGGCTTGCGTGCCGCTGCCCGGAGACCCGCCATTAGAGTCTGGCGATAAATGAGTAGTCGTCCCCTACCTTCTGCTGCGTTGTAGTCCCAGTCGGGCCGGGTTAAGGGAAAGGCTGCGTTGATGAGGTCAGGGTTCGCAGTAGGTCGACCATCCTCTCCCAAAACCACTTTCGTGCTTCTAATTGAATTCTTTCTCTTTCTTCCGTGGTGAACAGGATTTTCAGGAGTTGTTGGCAGTCATCCCAGGTAGGCTGATGGTGAACATGATGCTCTCTAGGAGGGCTATAAGATCTTTAGGGTTATCAGAAAAACGAGCGTTTTGGATTTTCTAATTGTAGAGATCACTAGTAGAGAAGGGCCAGTACTGAAGTCGGGGGTTGCCTGTGTCATCGGGGGGCCCTATTTCTCGCAGGGACAGGGCTACCGTGGAGTCGGGGAGGCGGGAACTTGGCTCCCGCTGGGAACGTCCGCAGTGCGGCCAGCTGGCCCTCCGTGGCCAGTTTCATTTCCAACAGAACTCGGGGCTGTCGTTTCGCGCCCTCTTGGCTCCGGCGCAGCCGCCGCCTCCCGCCTTTCCGGTTCTTCTTGCGGGTCGGGTGGTGGGGCGGCGGCTGCTTCTGGCGGGGCTCGAAGGGCGAGGGGGAGAGAAGGATAGGGCGGAGGATCTAGGGATAGGGGGTCTTGACTATCGGGTAATACGGGATACAAGGGTGCCGAGGGGTTACGTGGTTTGGGGAAATCCTGGGGGCGAGCCGCAGGGGGGCAAGCCACAAGAATCTTGCAAGACCCTGAAGGGAGGAATGGAGAAATTCACGGTGGGGGGTTTTCAACCAGGTCCTGCCAGATAAGGATATAGGGCACTTGGTCAGGGTGGCCTTCCTTCCCTGGCAGGAAGGTTTTGGCTCTAACCTTGGCGACTGTTGGCAGACAAAAAGTACCCTCCGGTGGCCAGTCGACCCCGAAAGTGGGCCATTCTGACCGGCAGAGAGTAACAAACTTAGATCGGCGGATGTCCAGGCTTAGGTTGTTGGCCCTGGCCCTGACATCCTTGAAGTTATTTAAGATTAGAGAGAGAGGCATGCTCTGGTTCTGCCCCATTACCTAGGTAAGAGAGACAAAGTGAGTCAAGTTAGTTCAGGTTTTCAGAAGGGGTCCAGAGGTTCCTATAGGGAAGAACGGATAGGTTAATTCGCAAGCGCGGTGACAATTTGAAACTGTCTAGAAAGCAATTTGTGCAGAATACTGTGGGGTTTAAAATCAACAACCACAGAGAGACAGACATAAAAGGCTAGCCAACAGAAAATAAGACGCCGGCCTCACACCGGTTCGCGGTAGCGATCCGCTCCGTCTTTTACCAGATGGGCCGAAAAGGACCCCAGATGGGCTAACCAGCCCCAGATGGGCGCCAGAGGACGTCTCCTTGGTCCCGACTGACCGCTCTATAGTGCGTCTGCCAAGGCCAAGACAGTCACTGATACAGATTCCGTGCGGCAGAAACCGAAACAAACAGACAGAGACCGACGCTGAGACAGACAGAAACTTACAGAGCCAGCCGGCTCACTTACCGACCGGTTGTAGGAACAACCCGTTGACATGGGGTCTGGTGGGTTTGGGGGATATCCCGGACGAGCCCCCAAATGAAACGCCCAGAGTTCGAGAGACCCCAAAAACAGACCACCAGAGACCAGAGTCAAAGCCAATCGGCAAGGGTCGTTTTTTGCAGGCTGGAACCCGGACCTCCGCACACTCGTCGCCGGTGACGCTGAGAGGCCCCGAACAAAGTCTTTGCAGCCTTTTTATAGACAGGAGTAAACAAGTCGTGGGGAGGGACAGGGGATCTCTATGGTTACAGGTTTGTCATTGGTTGATATTTAAATGTGAACATATACCACATTTGATTGGTTCCCGCCATCAGGTTTTTGGCGGGATCCAATTACAACATTTAGGATACCTTTGAATTTACCCAATCATAGATCGAGTCTAGGGTCTTGTTCGGCGACTAACAGGTTAACTTCTCTCTCCCTAGGCCCTTCCTTCAGTAAGGCTGAGGGTGGCTGCTGGCCTTTCCTGATTGGGTGTTGCCAGGGTAGTGTGGTGGAGTGATGTGGTGGCCAGTTTCTTCGGCCTTGGGCAGTGTGCAGCTGCCTGATAGTTCTGGGGAGGCTGAAACGCAAGCCTTAAGCAATGGTACAGAAGCGGAAGGAGCTAGTTAGGTTTTAGTTTCCCGTAGTGCAAGCACTTGCACAGAAGCAGAAAAGCTGGTTGAGTTTTTGGTTTAGTTTGTCTAGGCCCCTCAGTTCCAGTGGAGCAGACCTCAGTGCCACTTTAAATAGCCTTCCAGTTTTTAATCAACTTTTGTACTTTGGAAGTTCTGAGTTTTTAGGATTAATTTCAGCATGAACTCTTTTCATGGGTTTTTCTTGTTTTTCAAAATTTATCTGTGTATTTACTTTGCCCAAATGGGTCCTAAATATCTCAGCAATAAGGCCTGAGCAGCTATCGTTTTTATCAAAGGGATTTTCCAGTCCCAACAATGTAAAAAAAATAAGCTGATACTTCATTTAATTGGCAATTACTAAAATAAGTGCTTTTCCTACAAGCAGATAGACTAAAAACTTGAAGAATGTCAAATTCTACATCTGTCCTAATACATTCATTTTTCTGGGGTTTCGGAAAGAAGACATTGTGGCACACAGTGATGGCAGACCCTAGTGTCAGTCTCCAGTTTTACTATGGGCACTTTCCAGCTCTATGACCTTGAACAAGTTATTTCACCTCTCGTATTTAGGAGACTGTGAGAATTAGTTACTGTTAAGCTTGTTAACTTGTCAATACTGAGACCAGTGTCGCACACAGTTGGTACTAAATAAACACTGGCATCTCCTCTAGCACACAGGCACATGTGCCTGGGGCAGCATATACACCTGTAATATCTACAAACCAGATAGGCATCCACAGCTTTTAAAATAAATTATATGTAGAAAATCTTGTAAATTCCTATTACATGACAATATATGAAAATAGATATTTTTTATTTTTAATGAAGCTATACATAAAATTATATATATTAAAGAACATAACATGATGATTTGAGATACATAGTGAAATAATTACCACAATCAAGGTAATTAACATACTTTCCTCAGAGGTACCATCTTTTGTGTGTGTGATGTGAGAGCCCCGAAAATCTACTTTCTTAGCAAATTTCCACTATTCAAAACAGTATTATTACAGCTATCGTCACCTTGGTATATATTAGGGCTCCAGACCTACTCATCTTATACAACAACTCTGTACCCTTTGACCAGTATTTTCCCATTTCCAAAGATTTTTATAGCCACAAGTACTTTTATTTGTGCCAGGACTACAGCTATAGATCCCAAATTTATATGTCTACCCACGTGGTTATAAACTATCTAAACAATCCACATATCATTCTATGCACCTAAAATTAGCTTATCCTGTGTTATCCAGTGAGACCTAATATAATCACACGTGTCCTTAGAGACAGGCAGAAGAGTTTTGAAAGAGAAGAGGAGGCAAATATGACCACAGATGCAGAGACTGCAATGATGCAGTCATAAACCATGGAATGTCTAGAGCAACCAGAAGCTAAAAGAGGGAAGAATCAGATTTGGTCCTAGAATCTGCAGACAGAGTGACCCTGTCAACATCTTTTGGACTTCTGGCCTCCATTAGGATAAGAGAATAAATTTCTATTGTACAGTTCTTAGTCATTTGTTACAACAGCCCCAGGAACTAATACAACATCCCATGTCTTTTTTCTTTATGTACCTTTTTATTAATGTTTATTTTTGGGGAGGGGAGAGCATGCAAGCAGGGAAGGGACAGAGAGAGAGGGAGACACAGAATCTGAAGCAGGCTCCAGGCTCCAACCAGTCAGCACAGAGCCCAATGCGGGACTCGAACTCACCAACTGTGATATCATGACCCGAGCCGAAGTTGGACGCTCAACTGACTGAGCACCCAGGTGCCCCACAACATCCCATGTCTTAGTATTGTTAAGATGGCAACAGTCCCTAAACTGGTCTACAGATTCAATGCAACTCCTACCAAAATTCCAGCTGGCTTCTTTAAAGAAATTGACATGCAGTTCTTAAAAAATTCACATAGAAATAAAAGGGACCCAGAACAGCCAAAACAATCTTAGAAAAGAAAGAAAAAGGTGGGGGACTCTCACTTCCCAATTTCAAAACTTACCACAAAGGTACAGTAGCCAAGATGGTATGGTTCTGGCATATAAACAGACAAGCAAACCAATGGAATAATATTTAGAGTCTAGAAATAAAATCTCACATATGCAGTAAATTGATTTTAACAAAGAAGCCAAAAGAATTCAGTGGAGAAAGACAAGTCTTTTCATTATATGGTACTGGGACAACTCCAGTTTAGCCACATGCAAAAGAATCAAGGGGAACCTCTACCTCATATATGAAAACTAACCTTAAATGGATCAAAGACCCAAATGTATGAGCTAAAACTATAAAATGCTTAGAGACAACATAGAGTAAATCTTCTAAGGAAGTAAATGACCTTTATTTAGGCAATGTTCTATCTTTGATTAGATAGAACATGAAAAGCACAAATAACCAAAGGAAAATAAAAAAGATAAATTGGACTTCATCAAAATTAAAATTTGTTGTACTGCAAAGGACATAAGCATAAAACAAAAAGACAGAAAATATTTCTAGATTTTGTATCCAAAAAGGGACTTGGGTTTAGAATAAATAAAGAATTCTCACAGCTCTATAATAAAAGCACAAATAGGGGTGCCTGGGTGGCTCAGTCGGTTAAGCATCCAACTTCGGCTCAGGTCATGATCTCACGGTTTGTAGGTTCGAGCCCCACATCGGGCTCTGTGCTGACAGCTAGCTCAGAGCCTGAAGCCTGTTTTGGATTCTGTGTCTCCTTCTTTCTATGACCCTCCCCTGCTCATGCTGCCTCTCTCTCTCAGAAATAAATAAAACATTAAAGAAAAATTTTTTAAATAAAAAATAAATAAAAGCACAAATAGCCCAATTTAAAAATGGGCCAAGGATCTGAATAGATATTTCTCCAAAGGAGACACAAATGACCAAAGATGTTCAACCTCTTTAGCCATCAGAGAAATGCAGATCAAGACCACAATGAGATAGCACTTAGAGTATCTAGGCTGGCTGTAACAAACAAGATGTGTAACAACAAGTACTAGTAAGGACATGGAGAAATCAGAAAGTGAGAATCCTGAAAGCAGCAAGGAATCCTCAATGAGATTAATAGCTGACTCCTCCTCAGAAACCATGGACCAAAAGACAGCAAGATGACAGATTCAAAGTGGCAAAATGAAAACAATGTCAACCAAGAATTCTATATCCAGTAAAGACATCCTTAAAAATGAAGGAGACATAATGCCAATGGCATGATTTATGAAAGAAATAATTGATCAGTTGGACTTTATTAAAATAACTTCTGCTCCACAAAGGACACCATTTAAGGAAAGAAAAGCCACAGACTGGGAGAAAACATTTGCTGAATGTCTGATATCCTTGTTATGCAAAATATACAAAGAATTCTTAAAACTCAACAATAAGAAAATGAATATACAAAAGGTAAATAGGCATATGAAAAGATGCTCAACATTACATGCAATTAGGAGTTGCAAATAACACAATTACACACCTTTTTGAATGGCCCAAACCCAAAACACTAATAATACCAAGTGCTAGCCAAAATATGGAGCAAAAAACAAACAAAAAAACACCAAAAAGTACAAAACAAATAAAAACACCTCTCAATCACTGCTCACAGGAATGAAAAATGGTACAATTACTTTGGAAAACAGTTTGGTAACTTTTTTAAAAAATTTTTTTAATGTTTATTTATTTATTTTTGAGAGAGAGTACACGCACAGGTGAGAGGCAGAGAGAAAGAATCCCAAGCAGGCTCCACGCTGTCAACACAAAATCCAAAGTCAGCCAAAGTCAAGAGACAGACGCTTAACTGGGAGACACGTCTCCCAGTCTGTGGCTTGACGCTAAATGAATCACCCAGGCACCCCTAGTAACTTCTTATAAAACTGAACATACTCTTACTTCTGTAAGTACCCACAGGTGAATGGATAAGAAGAAGTGGTATATATATACATGATGGACTATTACTCAGCCATAAAAAAGAATGAGATCTTGCCACTTTTGAAAACACAGACAGACCCAGAGGACATCATGCTAAGTAAAATCAGTCAGACAGAGAAAGAAATACCATATGATTTCACTTACCTGTGAACTCTAAAAAACAAATGAACAAATAACCAAAACAGAGATTAATACAAAGAACAAACATGGTT